CCCCAGCTGGCATGGGTGACTTCTGTCTCTCTCCTGTTTCTCAGCAGGAGGTTTCAAGACCTGAGCTTCCTGCTGGGTTGCGCCGTGGTTTGGTTTTCAAGCCCTGTATCTGGAGCTGTACCCCACGGGTGTCTTCAGAGTCTGATGCAGAAGGTGCTTCTCAGATGGGTGAGCTGTAGAGGAGGTTAGTGCCCAGGGCCAGGCTCGTACCTCTTTTGGGGCTCTAATTACCACCATGCCTGCTAGCTGCCATGTACAGGGTGGCTGCCCAAACCTGCTCTGCCTGGGAAGCACAAAGTCAGGCTTAGGAGAAGGTGTGGACAGGAAGGAGCAGTGCTCAGGGAGGTGCCTGGGGCAGGGATGCCCTCACGTCAGTGGTTTGTGGACACCAACCAAAGCCCAGCTCAGTGTGAGCACTGCTCGAGGCAGTGCGTTTATTTTTAGTCCTGTGAGCACTTGCTCCATCCCCCACAAAACCATCTGCTGGTTTGTTGGCTTTGAGTCAACAAACACCCCCCCCCCCCAATTTTGGCCACAAACTGGGATGTTTTTCATGCTCATCTTCTGCCTTCATGCCCTTTCCCCACCCTCCCGCAAGTGTTTTGGGCTGGGTCTCATCCGCCCCTTGGCTTCATGCTTCAGTCTGGGCAGAGCACTGGGGTGCTGGGAGGGGACTCATTCTGACACAACCCAGGGGTGCTCCCAAGGGTGCCCAAGCCCCTTTGAGGGGTACCAGATGCTCACCTGGCTTAAGATGGAAACTGGAGCTTAATTATGTTGAGTTACTAATTAGCAGTGGATGTGGTGGCTCTGCTGGTTGAAACTCTGCTTGAGAAATGCACTTGGTGAGGCCTGGCTCAGCTGAACTGTTTGTAAATGTGTGTCCCAACACGAAGAGAAGGGTTGAAAAGCAAAATGAGGTGTCCTGAGACTAAAGACACGTGCTCTGCATGTACAGAGCGGCTTTCCAAGGGCTGTGCCTGCAAAATCCCCCCACTCCAAATCTGCTCTCACAGAGTTTGGGGTTAGCCACAGGTGACTGTCTCCTTCCCAACATTGTTCCCAGCTGTTGAGTACCTGGGTTGGCAGCACATCTGTCCAGCTGAGCTTTACCTGTTTAATCTCACAGGTTTCATCCAGGATTCATCCCACTGGATGGGGATGTGGCAAAGGCAGGGCTTGAAGCACAGTCAGCAGATTTCCAGCTCTTTTTGGGTTTTATTTTGCAACTGGGTCCAAACAATGAAACAACCACATGGAAAAGGAGGGGAAAACAAGCTGCTTTCATCTCAGGCTTGTTGAGAGAGCTTATCATTTCACAGGGGATCACAGCATTTGGGAGAAGCCCTGGAGAAGATATTTGTTCTTTGAGCCCAGAGTTTCGCTGGTGCTTGGGTTTAGCTACGTGTGGCTTGTTCATTGCCAGCCCTGCTGTGAGTGTCACTTTGCAATTATCTGTGATGTTTGGAGATTTAATGAGACCTCTGAGCTTTTAGATTAATATACATGAAGGGGGCCAACAAGAGAGGTTCTGCAGCGGTGGCAGGAGAAGGACGAGGTGGTGTCCACTAAGTTGTTTTCTGGAGCTGTGAGCCCAGAGCTCTTACCCAGACTCCAGCTATAAGAAGTGGAATGGAAAAAAGTCCAGTTGTTTTCCTTAAGATTTTGTAACAACTCGGTACCAACACTGATGTTTTGCTGAAATCCGTGAGCGACGTGGGGGTTTTACAGCTACCTGAACTGTGGTAGATGTCTGCTGGGACTCTCCAGGACATCAGTCCCAGGGCAATCAAGAGGATCTGGGATGCCTGGAAAAGCCTTCCCTCCAATCCCTTCCTCACCACCCCTTTCCAGATGTTCCCTGTGAGGAGGCAACTTAAGGATCCTTGAAGTTACGTCTTTTGACAGGCAGTCAGTGCTCCTCTTGGCAGTGAAGGGCATCCATCAACGCAGGTCCTTGAGCAAGATAAAACACCACGTCAGATGGTGCCTCCTTCCAGCAGAAGGCACCTTTGAATGCAGACGGCAGTGTGCACACATGCTGCAAGGCTAAAGTTTGGATGGCTTGCGGTGGTGTTACTTGCAAGATGCACAGGCTGAGGAGACATGGGAAGATGGGCAGAACCCCCTGCTCTATGTGTAGGTGTCACCTAAAAACCAAGTGGGGCTTTTGGAGATACCGCCTGGCTCCAGTGGGATGTTCCCAGAGAAACCACTGCACTCCCGCAGCTCCTGATGCCGTTTTTCCAAAGGGAGTGCTGAGGGCACATGAGAAGGGAGCTCTGGGAGGCAGATCAGCCCTGGTATAGTCAGATTTTGGAACTCAGTTATTCAGCAGCTCCTTATGGCCTTCACAAATGGATGCTGCTAAGTGCAGAGACGTGACTGCTCCAGAGCTCGGTTATTTACAGCTCACTGCAGCTGACTTACACCATCTCCATCAGCAGGGCTGAGGGGGGAAGGAAAACCTTCTGGAATGAGATCCAGGAGATACGAAAATCCCTCTCTGCTTTCCCCTCCTCCCTCCACTCTGTTGTTACAAACCCTGAGCCCATCCCAGCCTGCTGCATTGATGAATGTGGGTTTGGGAAAATCCAGGAGCCAGCAGGGAAGTATCTGTGTGTTTAGGGGGGACCATGTGAAAATGTGGCAGAAGGTTCTCCTCTCTTTGACCTTAAAATGTGCATTTAAAGCTAAACCCAGCTCTCCCTGGCCAGCTGAAAGCAAGAGCTGTGCTCACTGTGCCCAGCTCTGTCCTCGCAGCGTTTAAACCTCTGTGGAGCCCTTAACTCCTCTTGGATGCTCTTTGTTTCTGATGTATAAAACAAAAGAGCCCTTCACAATATTAGAACACTAATGTCCTCGTGAAACATCTTGGTCACTGGCTGATGGCTCTGGTTCCCCCAGGGAAGAGGATTTGCAGACAGACCCCATGTGTAAGTGTGGGGGAGACATCTTCCAGGAGCACACTCTCTGCACTGCTCCATGGCGTTACCAAGCCAAGGCTTGGCTGTCAGCATCTGCAGAAGCCAAGTCCTCATATGGGAAAGGCAGAGCTCCTGAAGAACATTCCCCATGGGGGAAAGAGACAGTGATGTACCTTGGAAGGACCTTCAGAGCTGAGACGAGGCAGGAATGACTTGCATGCTTGGGGATGACAAAGCTCATGTGCTGGTTCTCTCCTGGCTGCCTACACCTGCACGTCCAACCCAGCAGTGTCTTTTCAGCTGCTCTGAATGACAAGTGTTTAATGCTCCCTGGGGTTTTCTTTTCACTTGGTTTGGGTTTTGAGTTTTGGGTTTTCTTGTTATCATGCTGACTACCAGATACACGTGCCTTTGCAAGCATCGCAGCCAGTCTGCGGTTCTCAGTTGCTTCATCCGCATGATTTATTTAGTGTTTCTCCTCTCTCCACCCAAGGTGGAGCTACCTGTTAAGGTGTTTTCCTCTGGGTCTGTTCTGCAGGAGCAGCTGTGTGGTCGTCGGGAAATGTTTGGGCATCTCCAAGGATAGTTGTTTTTGTGGAATACAGGTGGTGATTTGTCTGTAGGCCCATCCATGCTAATTGGCAGCGGGAAGGGGAGAAAAGCCTCCCAGCCATCAGTGATCCCTGAGCCTGCCCGGACTGAGGTTTGCAGTCCATCTTGCATGTAAAATTACTGCATATTACACCTTCCTCTTCCTCCTGCTTCTCTTCCTCCCTTGGTGCTTTGCTTCAGCATCCCAAACCTTCCCATTTCAGAGTAGGGCTTGTCTCTGATTGGACTTGATGATCTTAAAGGTCTTTCCCAGCCTAGTTAATTCTGTGATTCTTTGGCTGAGGTTGTGTTCTACCAGTGCCATAGGGTGAGCCCCTGGGTGGCATCAGTTGGGTAGAGCTTTAGATTACAATAAACTCAGGTTTATTATTGCAACAGTGAGGGTTTAATGCTCCTCACTTCCCTTTCCTTGGCTTGATAACTCTTGTTGTCTTATGTTGAGCTGGGCTGAAGTGGCAGCCATGGTGGAAGGCAGCATGGGACTCCTGTAGCCATCGAGAAACCTCACCCAAGGGTCTGGGGACCCCTTGCTACCCAAATCCCCCAGGGGGTGCTGAGTTCTTGCCCATTCCCATAGGATGCTGGTCCCTAAGCACTCTTAGGATTTATGTGTGGGCTGCAGAGTCCCCCGGGCAGGAGCCACTGGTGATATCCCATGGCTTTCATATGCAGACTGCTAAATAAATAGCTAAATTCTGTTTTGGTGAAAAATAAGATAAAAATAAAGCCCCATTATTTTGCACAGAGTTATTTATGTGTAGCAAAATACAGAGCTGGTATGCGATGCCTGCCTACAATGTACTCTAGGAGCTGCAAAGGCACTAGCTGGCACTTTGGGACCAGCGTATATATTTATAGCCAGGCTCAGTAAATCATTCCTCCTAATGTTTAGCCTGTGCCTGCTTCCCTTTGTAGCATTACTGCCCTTTTCCCTTCCCACTCACTAGCAGCATTGCACTAGTTGTGCACAAACTTGTAAAGAAGTGCATCCACCAGGGATGGATGTTTGTTTCCAAGTGTGGCATCATGCAGCTAATTTTTAAGGGGACCTTTTCTCGGCAGCAGCAGGGATCTGACTGAGAGCTGTGAGGTTATTCCCTAACATCCCCTTACTCTTTTTGTAAACCAAAAAACTGGGAATTTAAAGTCCCAAGATGTGTGTCATGGGATCAGCAGAGAATAAATCTGCATCCTTACTTATTTATGACTTACATGGCCTATTTTCAACAACTGATTTATCTAGTGTCAAGCACTTGGGAGGGTAACGGTGGATGATGCTGCAGGGTCATAGTGAGGTGAAGAGGGAAATAAACCCCCCAGAAGGAGGTTTTGAAGGAGCTGGTTGAGGGGGGTGTGTGATTTGAAGTTCAGCTTTGCTTTGGCAGATGCCCTCTGTGTGCAAAGCTGTGTGGGGACCGCGCGGTGGGAGGCAGGGACTAACCCCACTTGCTCCTTGCCTGTCTTCTAGCCCATCACTTCATCGCGGCGACAGCGTGCCAGGAGGCAGACTACGGCTGGATGATCAGGCACTACTGCCTGAAGCAGTTCCAGCTCAGCATGGAGGGCATCGGGCAGCGGCTCTGGTGTGACTGGGACGAGACTGTGGGGTAAGTAAGATCCCTCCTGTCCCGCCTGCACCTGTCTTTGATTTTGGGGGGCGAGGAGGTCAGTGGTGGGTTTTAGTTTTGAGGGCAGAGAACAAATGTGCCATTTCACTCTGCTGATGCTGCCCTGGCTCCATCCCTGCCAAAGGGGCTTCCCAGAGAGGTGATGGATGCCCCATCCCTGGAGGCATTCAAGGCCAGGCTTGATGTGGTTCTGGGCAACCTCGTCTAGTTGAAGATGTCCCTGCTCATTGCAGGGGGTTTGGACCAGATGAGCTTTGAAGGTCCCTTTCAACTTAAACCAGCCTGGGATGTGATAATTCTCTCCTGTTTGCTTGCGGAGGGGCCACAAGGTGTGCTTGGAGGGGAGAGCAGTGGATGTTGTCCAGTATCTGGACTTCAGTGAGGCTTTTGGCACTGTATGCCCTAAGATCCTTATGGACAAGCTGATGAAGTGTGGGCTGGATGAACAGGCAGCGAGGTGGGTTGGAAAATGGCTGAACAGCGCAGGCCCAGAGGGTGGTGGTTGTTGGACAAAGACTAATCGGAGGCCAGCAACCAGTGGTGTACCCAGGGGTCAGTGCTACTGGGAGGAGTGGGTAACACACCATTGAGTCATGCTGCCAGCCAGAGGGATCTCAACAGGCTGGAGAAACGGGAACCTCACAAAGGTCACCAAGGGGAAGTGCAAAGTCCTGCACCTGGAGAGGATCAACCCCAGGCACCAGGACACGCTGGGGGCTGTCCAGCTGGAAAGCAGCTCAGCAGAAAAGGCCTTGAGTGTCCCGTTGGAGATCAAGATGAACATGAGCCAGACACGTGTCCTTGTAGCACAGGTGGTGAATGGTGCCCAGGGCTGCATTAGGAGTGCTCCAAGCAGACCCAAGGGAAGTGATCTTTCCCCTTTGCTCAGCACTGGTGAGGCCACCCCTGGAGTGCTGGGTCCAGTCTTGGGCTCACCAGTGTGAGAGAGACGTGGACGTACGGGAGAGTCCAGTGAAGGACCAGAAAGATGATGAAGGGTCTGAAGCATCTCTCCTATGAGGAAAGGCTAAGGGAGCTGGGGCTGTTCAGCCTGGGAAGAGAGAGTCTCAGGGGGACCTTATTAAGGTATACAGATACCTGAAGGGAGGGTGCAAAGAGGATGGAGCCAGGCTCTTCTCGGTCGTGCCCAGTGGTAGGACCAGAGGCAATGGGCACAAACTGAAGCACAGGAGGTACCCTCTGAACATCAGGAGACATATTTTCTCTGTGAGAGTGACGGAGCACTGGCACAGGTTGCCCAGTGAGGTTGTGGAGTCTCCATCCTTGGAGATGTTAAAAAAAGCAAGCAGCTCTAGGTGGCCCTGCTTGATCAGGGGCATTTGGAGAAGACAAGGTGGGTCTCTAGATGTCCTCTCCAACGTCAGCCATTCTGCGGTTAAATGGGCTTTCAAGGAGCCCACCCTAAGCAGTGTTTGGAAATCAGGATGGTGGCCTTGCTCAGTAAAGTTATGTGCATATGAAGAAACCACACGCCCCAGTGATGGAGCTTCAATAGAAGACTGCAGCTGCCTGCTATATGCTGCGTATCAATGTGTTAAAAGGCAGTAGATTAGCAACCCTGTCATGGCTCCATTACATCTTCTGGTGACTCACTGCTTGATGGACATATTTTCCATGAGGTTTTCCTTGATTTTCTCAGTACTCAGGTTCTCCAGGCAGTCCCAAATGCCTTAACGCAGCTTGGAGACCCCACAACCCACTGAGATGCCTTCAGACCCTCTCTGTGAGAAAATCCCAGGCCATCCCACTGGATCTGCTGGTTTGCCTGCTGCTTCCAGAAGTTGTGTGTTGATTTTTCTTAGCAACTAGAAGGATAAGCTGCTCTGGAGTGGGCTTTTTTGCGTGTCTTTGGTTTGATTTTGGCTCTTCCCTATTTCTAAACATCAGAGCAGAGTTTTTCATTACTGCCGTGGCTTAAATCATTCTCTTGGTGAGATGGTTTTGATTGAAGTTGCAAAGACCAGCCAGGGGTGTCCATGTGCTGGTGTGAGGGCCTGAAAAGCCTGTTCTCCACTCTGAGCTGGCTTTCCACATCATACAGCATGGTTGTGCTGTGGCCTTTCTCTGGGAAAACAAAGTGGCTTGAGACACAAGTGGGGATCGAGGTCTGTTGGAAGTGGTGAGTGTATCTCGCTGTGTGCAATGAGTGTTTTGCACAAAAATCGGAGTTTTTTGTAAGGCTTTGGTTGATTTCTTACTTCATGGCCCTTTCTTCTGTGCCAAATTAAAATATATGTGTGTGTGTGTGTGAAAACATACATATATAGATAGGTTTTGAAAAGGACAGCTTGGGTTTTCCTTCCCTTTCACTGGTGACAAAATGGAGGGGAAGAAAAGAGAGTGGAAAGACTGTAGGAGGTTTCCTGGTTCTGAGATATCTCATCGGGTCCTCAAAAATGTCCAGGGCCTTGGGAGTCTCCACAGGATGTGTCCCCCTCTGTTGATACCTTTGCAGGCAGCATCCAGATGAGGTCCAGATGTGGTGAATGGTAGAAGGGATAACCACCTTGCTGGGGATGCGCTCCCACCCCTGGAGCCATCCCACCAGAGCTGTCCCCGTGCAGGGGCTGAGTGTGTCCCAGAGGTGGGACTTTGCTTTTGGTCTTGGTTTGGTGCTGTCTGCAACCCTGGTGAGATGCAATCTGTCTCTTCCTTCAGCAAACCCAGTGCACAGGAAGCAGAAGTGTATTAAAGAGATTGTTAAAGAACAAGCTCCTATGTCCTGGTTTTTTTTCTCTAAATAGTTTCCACTAAACTTGTTATCCTTGAGGCACTTGAGGAAATGCTGATAAACTTGCAGTGCTTAATTTGATTGTGTGAGTCCATTTGCTCCACATGAAAGCAAGGCTCGAGCTTAGTTAAGCAATGACATTCCTCTGATCTTCCTGTGCCCTCAGGACACTGGGAAAATCAGGTGGAAATAGCTTAGCTACTGCTGCAAATAAGCTGCTTTGAAGGATAGGGATTTTGGGTGGTCACCTTGCTCAAGACCCCTGCTACCTGGGTGTGCTTGGGACTCACCATCCCCCTTTAATCCTTCTGGAGAGAGGCTTTGGACAGGGGCCTGTAGGGACAGGACAAGGGGAATGGCTTTAACCTGCCAGAGGGGAGACTGAGATGAGCTCTGAGGCAGAAGCTCTTCCCTGTGAGGGTGCTGAGGCGCTGGCACAGGGTGCCCAGAGAAGCTGTGGCTGCCCCATCCCTGGCAGTGTTCAAGGCCAGGTTGGACACAGGGGCTTGGAGCAACCTGCTCTAGTGGAAGGTGTCCCTGCCCGTGGCAGGGGCTTGGAACTGGATGAGCTTTAAGGTCCCTTCCAACCCAAACCAGTCTGGGATTCTATGATTTTAGGAGAAAAAGCACTGTTAGCAGATGTCCCAGCAGGAGTGGGTAAGGGGTGGCATAGGCTGGCTGGTGGCCCCTCTAGCTTTAAGGGGAAAGACTGGGCTTCTACCGGGCATGAGACAAAAAAATGGAACAGGCCTAGAGCCTGTTTCCTCTCCATATCTTCCCCCAGCCAAAGGAATTTTGATGCTTGAAACCTGTCTGAAACAAGAAGGAGACATGTTTGAAGGTTTTGCCTCTGCCAGGCCCTGTACCATCAGCAGCATCTGGTTTGGGGCTGTGATTTCTCGTATGTGGCATTTAGCAGGGAAATGCCTGTTAGTCCCATCATTTACTGCTCAATTGAGAATGACACGATGGGAACATCTGGATAAATGAGTTGTCTCAGAGGAGTTTGTAATTGTGGTTTATTGGTCCTATTTATAGGCTGCAGATTATCCTCCCATCTTACCCTCAGAGGTATTAACTGAGCTCTTGCATTACTGGTACTGCTGCTTTCAGGTGTAATGGAGGGGTCTATCTGTACAAGGAGTGTTTGGCGAGGTTGGGCTTGGACCTTGTGGACAAGCACCAACTCTCTGAGGTTGGTCCCTCATCACTGAGCTCTGCTGCCTTTCTTAGCTGTACTTATTTGGGGAAAGTTGATGTTTTTTCATATACAAGTCTTACCATATAGCAGGGAAACTTGTGTGAGCTGTTACACGCTTCAGGAATGGGATGCCATGAACACTGTCTCCTGGGAAGAGGGAAGGACTGCTCAGAGGTGTTTTCCCTTGGGTTCTTTGGTTTCTTTCCCTCTTTTCCTCCCCAAAGCACAAGTGATCTGGCGTGGCTTTGGATGCTCCTGTGTGCTGGTGCCTGCTGGGTTGCTCACTGACCAAATGGAGCCCCTCCGTGGTGGTGTCCCATGGATCCCTGGCCCGAGAGTGATTTAGACTGAGCATCCCGAGTTTTGTTTTCCAGGGCTGCTCTTTTATTCAAAAGCCAGATGATTGTTTAGCTGGAGGTGTGCTGTGGGCTCCTCTGCTCTGTGGTGGTGGCTGAGCTGCTTTGATGGGGAGCTCAGCTGTGCATGACTGATTATCCTGAAGATCAACTTGCCTATTTTGATTCCAGGTCCCGATTCATCAGCACAGCAGTTGAGCTTTGGGATTAGCTGTTGTCTCCCTCGGCACAGCTACTTTGGGTCTGTTCATCCTGGAGAAGAGAAGCTGCATGGAGACCTCAGAGCAGCTTCCAGTGTCTGAAGGGGGCTACAAGGATGCTGGAGAGGGACTCTTCATCAGGGACGGCAGCACTAGGACAAGGGGTAATGGGTTTAAACTTAAACAGGGGAAGTTTAGATTAGATATAAGGAAGAAGTTCTTTACAGTGAGGGTGGTGAGGCACTGGAACAGGTTGTCCAAGGAAGTGGTAAATGCCCCATCCCTGGCAGTGTTCAAGGCCAGGTTGGACGGAGCCTTGGGTGACATGGTCTAGTGCGAGGTGTCCCTGCCCATGGCAGGGGGGTTGGAACTGGATGATCTTAAGGTCCTTTCCAACACAAACCAGCCTATGCTTCTATGATTCTATGTGGCACTGGGGCTGCTGGAGGGATTGGGCTGCCGGCTGCTCACCCACCATGAGCAGGAGCTGATGACTTGTCAATAGTTTTCCTGTATGTTTTTGGCTTGCTGGCAGGCTGTGGCCAGGGGTTTTGCATGAAAGTGGGATGGGGAGATGCTCATTGTGCTGAGCGGTGCTGCAGCTGCAGGCGTCACTCCAGCCGAGCCAGGCGCCTTCATTCCAAATATATCCGCCCTGTGGCATGCTGAAAGATTTCCGGGGAATGCTTTCCCCTCATCCTGTGGGGAAGGAGCTGCCCAGTGTGAGCGTGCAGGCTGACAGCTGCAGCCAGGACCAGAAATGAGGGATGATGCTGCCAGCTCCTGGTACCCTGCCCCACTCCTACCCCTGCCTGGGGGCTGCTCTTACAGCTGTCAGTACACTCACTGTGTGTCTTTGGATTATTTATCCATTATCTTATAGAAAACAGATTGACCCACTCTCTTATTACCTCATTATCTACTTATTTATGTTCAGGTTGCCAAGTCCCTGCTGTATACTCCTTTAGCATGTCTGCAAACTTGCCGTGCAGCCTTGCAGAGGAAGAAATCAATTTCTTCTTTTAATTAACAACACAAAAGGAAAGCCTTGCATTTTGAGTTTTGTAAGGTTGGGTTTTTTCCTTCTGAAGCACAGGGGTTTGAGGAGGAGAGGAAAAATCCTGGTACCTGTGGCAAAAGGGGAGAGCTGCTGATCCTGCGAACCCCAACTGGTCTCCACGGTGTAACACCATCCACACCCAGGCGCTGGCGAGGAATAAATGGCAGATCAAATTCTGGTCTGGGTTGCAGTGGTACAAAACCAGAGGCATTGCTTAGGATTTACAGCAGGGTAAGCATTCAGATCCCATCAAACCATAAATCAGGCCTCGATTGCTTCCCACCAGCGGCCCAGCCCCATCTGCTCACAGGTGTTCGTCCCCATGTGGTCCCCACGCTGCCCAGCCTCCTCCTGCTGCAGCATCCTTGCAGCCCAAACTGTTTCTGTGGCAACAGGGAAAACAGTTTTAATCACAGTTCATGTTGGGTAGGGAAAATAATATTTAGAAGTAAGCAAAGCTGTACCCTTCAGGGCAGGCTGCCTGTCTCCCTGCCCTGGATGGCTTGGGATAACCTGCCCTGTTCCCGGTGCTTCCTACATCAGCAAACTAATCCCAATTTTTGTATTTGTTTTAGTAATTAAGGCTGGTCTTTTAAGGCATTTTAAATTAAGATGCTGCTATTTAAGGGAATGCCAGGGAGAGGAGGGGTGGAAGAAGAGGGAAGTGACATGGATGCAAACTGCTGCTCCTTTCCCTCTCTCCCCATGTCTGGTGGTTTCGGGGGACATGCTGGCCATCATGGTGAGCTAAGGACACTCTCCACGCTCAGCGCAACTTGAGCCATGGGCATCCCTCAATCTCTCCATCTCAAAGCTCAGGCGAGCCCCCAAGAGCTGCTGTTCCTGGGGGAGCTGTCACTGGGCTGCAGGCAGTTCTTGGCACCAGGAAAGATCCTGGAGCAGCCCCAGCTCAGTTGCGAAAAGGGAGCATGACTTAGGGATGCTTCTCCTCGAAGGTCTCCTCAGGGCTGGGGTAAGCTGGACCAACCCAAGTGCTCTGCCCAGGATTTTTGCTGTACATTCCTTGCGAGCAGCAAGGGTTTCAAATACCTTCTCATGGGGACAGAGGCGCCCGATGGAAAGACTTCTGTTGCATCCTGTGGTTCCAAATACCATCTAAACTAACTCCTCTGATGCCAGCCAGGTTTTGCAGCTTGGCTTTTGGCTGTTATGAACACCACATGGCATGTAGCTTTGGGCTGCAGTTCCTATACATAGCCCCTGGCAAACAGCATTAAGAACGTGCTTCCTTTGATTACCTCTTGCTCCCAGGCAGGTTGGGAATCTGGGGACAACCATCCGTAGATGTTACATCCTTAGATCCTCTGGCTGCTCTGCAGGGCTGTTGGGGACATGCCATGGTGCAGGTCCATGGCCCAGTGGCTTCTCTACAGCCTCATTTACCCTGACTGAACTAGGCCATCATGGAGCTTGTTGGAAGCCCAGCCAGTGATCTGCTCTGGGGTTAACCCCCAGCTTTCAGCCATAACGTCCCGCTCAGCATTTAGAGGACAGACAGCCCCTGGTCTGTGGGGCAAGGGAGAAAAGGACACAGGATGCAGGTATTTCTCTGCACACCCCCTCTGATTTGGGGTTGGTGGCATTCAGATCTCTTAGGTCCTCCCCAGAAAATGATCTGAGTGTTTTGCCAGGCATTGCAATGCCCAGATGACACCGATTTGGCTTTCTGTCAAAAGGAAGGGTTATAAATCTCTGGAGGTTTTGTTTTGGAAGGTCTGCGCCTTTTCTTAGCTGGAGGAGATGGTGTTTTGGGAGATGGAGGCTTGCAAATGAGCTGTAGGGTTGTCTGAGAGACAAAAGCTTGACTCTACCCTCTCTCCAAGGAGAGTTTTAACTCTCTGCCTGAGGGTTACATCTCTTTCTAGACACCAGAAATAAGAGTGATCATCCTTGCAGCTCCCAGAGCTCAGCTCAGCTTTGGCTGGCTGAGTGTGGTGGTGGGACCTTGCTCACCTGGTCTGGGCTGAGGATGGCAAGGGGCAGCTGTTCTGAGTAGGGAAACAACCCCCTGAGATGTTCCACGACTGGCACAGGCTGAATTCCCAGTGGGACCATGCTAGTGTGGTGCTAACATCATAATGTGGCTCTGCATATGGGGAGAGAGAGTGAACCGGGTGCTGCTTTGGAGATGCAGTGGGATGAATGTTCACTGTGGCTGTGGCAGGGAAGAGCATGCTCAGCCCCAGGCGTCAACAGTGCTGCTCTCCAGTGGCATCTTGATCCCTTCTGACAAGGCATTGCAAAAAGCAGCCTGGGCTTGACCAGTCTGGTTTATCCATATCCCAGCAAATGGATCCCTGTGGTAGATGGTGATGTACCTGTAGTGAGAGGGTCCCTCCGTGCCATGTGTCTGGGTGCTCTGCATGTGAGGACGTAAGATGGACTGAGTCTTGAAGGACCATTGTCTGAACACCATGAGATGCAGCAGCTCAGGACCCGTGCAGCTGGCAAGGGATGGGCTGCGTGGTGGCTGGCAGCTCATGTGTATAGATGGGCAAGGGTCTGTGAGGTAAAGTGGAAGAAATTAAAACACCCAGCTACAGCTGAGAGTTTGGCTTTGCTTTTAGTAGGATGTTCATAAAACTACCATGGTCAAGTAGTGCTTTGTGTAAGCAAAGGACAGAAAATCATAGTCAGAGATTGGTTTGGGTTGGAAGGGACCTTAAAGCTCATCTAGTTCTAACTCCCTGCCTATGAATGATGGGAGCAGGTATTGATCAACACAGAAGCATGGGTTGAGCTGGGGAAGGGCTAAGCCAGCTGCTGTACAGCCCTTCAGTTTTAAAAATAGCTTTTCTGTTATCACTCTCCCCCTGGTTCCTGACGATGCTTCAGCTCTCGAGATCTCCTAAGGATGCTGATGGACGGGAAATGGTAATTTGGCACATTGGGATGCTGAGCAGAAGCTGCTTTTAGTAGCTCCAGGCGCCCCATTAATTAAATGAGGGGGCTCCCTTTGGCGCTGCCGTGTGCCAGTGGGTACAGCTTAGACAACTGCTGCCGGCCCGAAAACCTGGCTGATGAGATGCAGAGTCCGCAGCAAGTAGCTGGGAAGCTGCTTAGAAAGTATTTGTTCCCCCAGGTGAGTTTTTAATTGGCTGGCTGGGGTTTGGTTTGCTCTGCTTCTGTAGGATCAGGCCTAATTGGCATGGGGAAAGAAACAGTTCTATATAGACGTTGGTTTTATGCATAGCCTTAAAAACTGGACGTGCTGCCCGATGATAGGTGGGATGGGTTGTGGTCCTGTGGACCTGCAAAGAGATGAGCTTCAGAAGTGTATGCTGTTGGTTCAGGTGCAACCCCCCTGTTTTTAGGCAATTCAGAGAGAATTTTAAGTAGATTTCATGTGCTCACTGTTAACCCGTTTTGGCTGAACTTTTGCTCTTGTCGTGGTTTCAGCCAGCTGAACCCAGGACAGCCCTGAAGGCAGAGCAGCTTGCCCAGCTGCTAGTGGCTTAGGATGGGTTTTCTGGAGGGCTTTCCCTAAAGGTGCCAGATGGCTATGTGAATCCAAGCGGTATTTTCTGGTAACACTGGACTGACCATGAATCCTGCAAAAATGAACAAAAACAAACAAAAAACCCCAACACTTGCTTCTAGTTATTTCTATAAATATTAATTCTGTTTTCATTTACTTACAGAATCATAGCATGGTTTGGGCTTGAAGGGACCATAAAACTTATCTAATTTCAGGCCCCTGCCGTTTACTTTGTTACTCCAGCAGCCTCTGTTCCACATAGAGTCACAGACTGGTTTGGGTTGGAATGGACCTTAAAACTCATCTAGTTCCAACCCCCTGCCATGGGCAGACGCCTCTCACTAGACCATGTCACCCAAGGCTCTGTCCAACCTGGCCTTGAACACTGCCAGGGATGGAGCATTTACCATTTCTTTGGGCAACCTGTGTCAGTGCCTCACCACCCTCTCTGTAAAGAACTTCTTCCTTATATCTAACCTGAACTTCCTCTCTTGTCACTACAGTCCCTGATGCAAAGTCCCTCTCCAGCATCCTTGTAGCCCCCTTCAGATACTGGAAGGCTGCTATGAGGTCTCCACACAGCCTTCTCAAATAACAAACACATCTATAATAGAAAGTATATAACATTTTATATGCTATGGGGGAGTGCCCTTGTCAGGGTGCTAGTGCCTGGTGCCACCCCAGTGCCCTTGTCTGTGTTGCAGCACCTACGGGGAGCTGACGAACTGCACGGCGCTCATTGCCGAGAGGCTCGACTGCTACTGGCCCAACCGGCTGGTGGATGAGTTCTTCGTGGCCGTGCACAAACAGTACTTCAGGAACTGCTCCCCCTCTGGCCGGGCACTGCATGACCCCCCCAATGGCATCCTCTGCCCCTTCATCCTGCTGCCCATCCTCGTCACCTTGCTGATGACCGCGCTGGTGGTATGGAGGAGCAAACGCAGCGAGAGCATCACTGGCACAGGCGAGGGACCACCTCTGGACTGTCTCTGGTTTTGGGAAGACCTTGGCAGAGGAGCATCACTGGGGGTACCAAGCCCTGGAGGCAGAGACAGCAGTGCCACAGCTCTTCCTCTGCACCACACGTGTGCCACTTGCCTGGCATCAGGAGGTAATGGTGAGGTTGATGGGTCTGGGTGCAATGAGACCACCATGGCTTCCTCCTGTCCCTTTTGTTTTCTACACCAGGAAAGGCATCTTCTCCCGTAGCACAAGGCCGAGGCCCCCATGGGGTGGGTTTCGCCTTGGAGATGGGGAGCTATGGGTGAAGGGTGGCAGTGGGAGGAGGTGGTGGTGGTGGCCTTGGCAATGCTAATGAGCAACGGGAATAAGGTGCTTTTCCTACCCAAATAAACACATAAATAAACCAGGTGCCCATCTGTGGTGTGAAGACTCAGTGCTCACCCCTCTGTGAGGACCTCCCCTCACTGCCCTAAAGCAGCCTCTGCGATCCTGGAGGCTGCCCCCTCACCTTCCCCTTTAATAGTATTGACCTCCACCCCACAGACAGTCTTTGGGGTAGCTCTCCAGATTTATTGTCACCCCTTCAACCAATGGAAGCTGCTCTGAGGCCTCCCCAAGAGCCTTTTCTTCTCCAGGAAGAGGCTTTCTAGAAGATGATAAGCTGCCTATGATAAAAATAAATGGGGAAAAAAAAAAACCAAAAACCAAAAAACCAACAAAACTACCAAGCCCAAAATAAAAAACCAAAGCCCAAACAAGAAAAAAAAGCAGCAAATTGTTACAAAAGCTGCCTGTAAGTTACAGAAGTTAATTCCTGCACAAGTGCTGTTGGCTCAGGAGCCTCCATCCACCAACTGGCCATGAGCATAGGTAATGCTTTGGGGACATAGAGGATAGTTTTGTCTTCTGCCATTGCAGAAGATCTGTGGGTGTGCAGGATGGAGATCAGATAGAAACGTGCTCCTGGTGGTGCGCAGCTTAGTGCTTTGGTGAGAGGCAGAAATCGAGGGTGGCTGGAAGGAGTGTAATAAGCTGCATCTATACAAATGTAATTAATATATAAACAAACATATACATATATAAAAATAGAAAGCCCCAAAACAAACAGCTTCTTGTGTTCAGAAAGAAATAGTTCAGTTTATTTTCCTGGGCCATGAGCTGATGAGCTCTTCTAGGATGAGGATCATCCAGGATCATCTATGATGATTTCTGCCCCTGTGTATTCTGGATGGGAAGAAACCGCTGCTCAGCCACCTTCTACAGTATGTAATAGTATCCAAACTTCAATATTCTGCTCATTTGCTCCAGGTAAGCAAGAACATGGTGCAGGGATTATACAGCAGGGCTGTACTGGGAGGGGGAGACTGGCTTTGATGGCAGCACCTCTGGCTCGGTGCTCACACAGGCTGCTGTACCCCAAACCTGCTGCATACCCTGACACAGCTGCTCCTGGCTCTCTGTAGCAGCACCCTGCGTTTGCTCTGCCATGGCTTCCACGCAGGAGTGAGGAGCCAGACACGGGCAACAGCCAAGAAACAGGGACTTCCACCCATTTTGTTGAAGGATGGGAGGTGACAACAGTACCAGTGCGCCACTACAGCAAGGAACACTCACCTTTGTTACAGCAAACTGGTTCAGTGTTTTCAGCTTGAAAAATAAGAAAATCCTTCTGACTTGGCAAGCAAAACCTAGACCTATTTTCCAATCTTTCTATTCCTTACCTTCCCTGACATTTCTATTGCGGCAACAAAAATCTCTCACCACAGTTGCCTGCTTAAAATAACATCCTGATCCATGTTTCATTTTAGCCCCAGTGGCAACATTACCCGAAGGTGAAGCTCAGGATAAGGCTCTCCTCCTTCATGCCAATCCCTGCATTTCATTTATCTGCTTTCCTAGACCTCCAGTAACAGCTACACGAGCCTGTGAAGCTGTAAGAGAAAAGGCACAGGGACAACTTAAGCCTTTAAGCAAGGCTGCAGCATGCCTAAAATCTGCAGCCCAGGTCTGCCATGCTGATGATGGAGACAAGTTTTGATTTCCTTCAGTGTCTGCAGAGAAACAGCAGGGAAGAATAAAGTGTACTCATGGGATAAAAAAACATCAACACTCGAGCATTACACATACACTTGCTCTGTATGAAACCACACCAACATTTATTTCTATGGTTTATCTATAAAAGCTTGACTCGTTCCATTGCACCTCCTCTGTGTGATCCCACAAGTGGATTCCCAGGGGAGGAGTAGTGAGGAGCTCTGGCCCACACGAGGCAGCAACTCCTCACAGCGTTTACTCTGAAGTGACTCCTGAAGTACATGCTACTCTCTTGTGGAAGATCTCCGCTCACACACACATTGTGTTTGATATACAGCTACTTACAGAAAAGGTGATTATAGCATCATACCCCTTCTAATTACCAAGAAAGCCAGGCGTGCAGGAGTGTTTCAGAGAGGTGCAGTGCATTCTTGTTCTCAGCTGCATTATTAGTCATTCCCTTTCAGTGCAGAATGTTGAAGAACACAATTAGGTATTCTCCAGGTCACGGTGCTTGAATTACCTTCATCAGATCAAACAGTGTCTGATGCCCCATCACCACATCCAGATTGGAAAGCCAAAGGCAGATTTCTTACAAAAAAAAATATCTCCCTTTTGTTAATTTTTCACAGAAATATATAATATATACTTTATATATGTACATAGTTTTACTAATACTACACATTTACTTAAGTTAGGGATTAGCCTGTGTTTCTCGTAACTACTTCACACAACAATTAGGAACAAAAGAAAAATACTGTAGCCCAAACAGGAGCTGAAAATAACAATGTAAGAATTCCAAACGTGTGACAAAAACATCCTTAACATTAAATATCATCAAGAATTTCAATACCAGCAGTAGAATATCATTTAGCACTAGCATTCTGGCAAGTTCTAAGCCTTAGCTGAATGACTCTTGGAGAAAGCTTGTATTGTTTCTGCTCATCAAAGGCAACAGGATTGTGATTTGGTTCACAGGAGACCATTTTATTGCCAACTTGAAGTGTTCTAAAAGCACGCCACCTCATCTGTTTGGTTGGGTTTTTGTCTTCCCCCCTCCAAACTAGGCAAGAGTTAAAAAAAAAGTGTAATTACAATTTCGATAGTGATTTCTTTTAACTTCTCAAGCATATCTCATCAACAGGATATACAGTACAGTTCAGAAGAGTAAACATTTTTAAAAGTAAGCAAACAATTTTTTCACCCAACATACACAATTTCTTGCTGTATTTATGTTGAACTCTCCTTTTAACATGGACAAGTTATGAAGTTAGTTTTCTTCTTCAGTACAACATGGACACAGGACTAGTACAATCCGGGCTGGTTCTGTTGTTGTTGTTGTTGAAGTTAAGGATAACTCTAGTGTGGAAGCCATGGTCCTGCCATCCATCTCCCTTCATCATCTCGCATAGCGCTTAATGTAATCTTCAACTTTATTCCGAAAGTCCTCCTAGAGGGAAGCACAGTCGGAATTACCCCAAGCACATCAGAGAGGGACTCACATAGGGCTGCAGTGGTGGTGGACGCCCACATCAGCAACCAGTAGGGTCAAGTGTCCATTAATGTTTCCAACGTGGTGTATGAGAACTGAGGCAACCTCTCAGAGTCCTTGGCAAGCAGATGGCTGGGCTCCACTGGGAATCTCCTTTGGGGACTGAACTGAACAAAGTTTGCCATCACCAGCTGTCAATGTAGGTACAGACAGACAGGTCACCTGTGCTGGGAGGCCAGGTCCCAGCAAGTGACACAGTAAAGATCTGGCTGTGGTTTTAGAGAAGGAAGGGAAGCTTTCCTTACCAGATAAAAGAGCCAGGTCTGTCCCAAACACTCATTCTGGCCTCCCTAGGTGAGTGCACAGTATTACAGCAGCACATTACCAGCACAAAATAGAATCA